GTAATATTTCCGTTGCCAACAACGTTTTTCCACCATAAACGGTCACGGCTCATGCAGTTAAAGGAATTTCCTCGTGAGGAACTGGAAGAGTCGTTTAATGAAAATGAAGAACTCAATCGCTTACAGGTGTTTATCGAACCGCACAGACATCTTGTAAATTGGTACCAATAGGTACAATACATCAACTGTAAACTGCAGAGGTGACTCACGCAACATGCATTTTGGTCCAGAGGTTGTAGTTCGTTGGAAGTTTTCGTAAGGTTGCAGTTGGCAAAAGGGTGAGATGACGCGACAATAGGTTGAGAGACAGGGTTTTTCTTCCCCTTCAGCCCTTGCACAATTTAACACCAACTCTATGGCGATGCAGGGAAAGGCAGAGTAAATATGAAAACACCTTAAGACCCTCCCGCCCCAGTCCCATATCCTACTTATCCAGACAGAACCTAAGAAAGACTTCGGGCTATCTCCTCAAAGTTCCTGCTATGCATTTCTAGTTTTAACCCCATTTTGTTATTTATCGTGCCGCATTTCCACGAAAATCTTGCTATAAAGATGGAATACGGAAAGACAGTGGTTACAGCAAGAGTAAAACACCATCGCAGTGCAGTATTCAAAGAACAAGGCTACGGTGCATCGAGCTGAGCCCCCTTCCCATCACAAAACTAGGTTTACTCGATCGCTGTGCTTGACTGGTTGGGGCTGAAAATAACCTTAAACGGACAGTTTTCGTTCCAGGAAACATAACCCAGGCCACAGAGGAGACGGAGAAACGCGTCCACTCCAAAGATTGCGGAGTTGGATATTATTCAGATGGCGCACTGTGGAAAAGAATGCCTTATGTCTCCAATTACTTTCCCGTGGCAAGGCCTCAACTGAAAGCCATAGAATTGGTAAACTTATCTATGGATCTAATGAGCTACAATGCGTGCAGGCGTGAATTATAGTATTTCATTCTTAACTGATGTGCTTAGACTAAAACGTGATAACATTGCCAAGTGAACCACAAAAGCCGACTTGGTGGGAGATAGAACACGTTTTACGGATCGTTCACGCATGGATCGGCGTGGCAATTGCTACTTGTATTGCTGGACGTGCCTTACGTCCCTATGACCGAGAATGGTCGGCTGAGACGCAGCTACGATTTGTCAAGCTCCATCCTACATCGCCTCCTTCATCGTCGAGCCGACTAATTCCTAACAAACGCGCCATGGGTACAAATACACCGAACAAACAAGAACGTGCGAAACGGTTCCAGGTTCAGCCAGTTGACGGCCGCAGCAGCATGTGTGTCCGGCAGCGTTGGACTCACCGCCCGGAGCTGCTGCTGCGGAGAAGGAGGGTCGGGCTCCGCGTGCCACCGGCGGGCAGCCAGCACCGGCTCGTGGCTGGGCTGGTCGACTGAGGCCGCGCCCCGCCAGCTGCCGGCGCACAGATGGTCGGTGGGCCGACGCCGCTACCTCCCCCCCCCCCCCCCCCCCCTCGGGGCAGCAGCGGCGCGCAGTCGCCCGGCCAGCCAATCGATAGACGAGAAACGCGGTCGGTTAAAAGTGATAATTAGGGTTGGCCGACTATTGTTCTTGCAGTTATGTGGCTTAAGTCTACTTAGTGGGGAATGCAGACTGAATGGTTGCTGTACCGATCCATCCGTTGCACATTTCGGCTGGCAACACGAGAGGCTTAAATGAGAGCAAGGCTTAAAGGAGGGCATTGAAGAGTGTTTCGGGTTGTTGCCTTACCTCGTTTGACGATTATACAAAATGCACGGCCCGCAACGAACGCACAGTTGCGAATTAGACGCTTTTAATCACTGATTTACCCCTTCGCCATGAAATTTATTCGCATGTTGCACGTCGTCTGAACACCGACGCCTTTCCGCGGCTTTTTCCAGCTTTGGCTGTGACCCTACCGCGCCAGCTGCGGACGCGCGGACGCCGGCAGCTCGCCAGCTTCAGCAGTATATGTGGTAGCACACTTTGAAAAGCATACTAACATTAAGTAGAGACATTTATAAGAATCACCCGACGTGAACTTGAGTGGCCTGAATGTCGCACCAACATGTTTCGGTCATTTTGACTCATTGAAGTCTGACTCACTTTCTCTCATTTCGTTTTCACTCATGCCCTCATTTTCTGACTCATTTGACGACTTAGCAGATGACGCAAACCGACGTGTCGTGATCGGTTTGTGTCAAAAACGGAATGGGTGACGAGTGTTCCCAGCAACGTCGCAAAACATGCCTGTCGCAGTAAGGCATACATTAGTAAGGCACACATTAGTAAGATAATTATGCGCCAATGATACTGACTGAAGCTGGTCCATAATGCGCTTATCAAGAGATGAAATTTTGTCGTCGATTATCACCAGCTTTGTCGGCTAACCCTGCCGCCCGAGCGCTAGACATGACCACAGAAAGCAAAGGGGTACTTGACATACTCTCGTGCACCATGAACTTACCAGTCCACATATCTTACCGAAAAATACGAACCTACACAGCCGTAACCATTCAACAGGGCGCAAATCTGGCGAAAGAATGCGTTTGCGGCTTTTGGCCCTTATCGAGCTGACATGAACCACAGCCCATGGACTTTTCCAGATTCTCCAACTTCGTGTCCAGCTGCAGCCGCCTGACGGCCATCGCAGAAGGTACACCACCGCTGCACGTGCAGTGCGTGTGTTCATACACGTATCGCAAACCTTCCGTTTTTAATTTTAAGCGCGTGCCAGCCAAACGTACCAACAATTTGTCAATTTCTGATCACTCCCCCCTCCTTTTTGCGCACGTTTCAACGTGATTTTACGACCAATTCCCATTTGTGAGGGTCCTTATGAGACACTGAAACGCCGTAGAGTTAACCAGGCACCATTTCAGGTTGACAAAAAGGTCACCAAAGTGCAAACAATCAAATTGTTGACAAGCGATATCAGGAGAGACAATGCGAGTCAAATGAGGCTACGGCTAATTCCGCTCTGCGCCGGGTTCCAGAGCTGTGGCGCACCATGCTAAGGTATTGCGTGCCATCTTTTATACAGGGAGTTGTAAAACTTGCATTTTTTAGTCTTCTCTATTCTGAGATTTTCGCGTGATTAATTCGCAGACCTTTACAGTCCATCCACGATCGTTGACCTTGCATCAGTGGTGCAGCTATGGGGAGAGCATGCGGTTTTAGCCCCCTCTCGCAAGTAAAGCATATTTTTGCTTTAAATCTCATATACTAACATGGGCAGTGACATGACGAGCCCAATAGTCGCTTACGATACCTATCATGAGCGATATCTGTCAAAGCGCTTACGATATCTATCATAGTCGTTTAAAGCATGTTTATTTTACAGCATATTATTGTCATTTATTATCATTCATCGTGGCTTACATCATGTGCTGCCTTGCATACGAAACCTTCACGATTACCCCGATCAAACTTCGGGGGTAGCCGGTCCCAGTCTCAAAGTTGAGGGAGGGGGGCAAGCGCCCCTCCTGACCGCCCCCTGCTCTCACGCCAAGACCCCTCCCGTTGTGAATCCTCGCTGAGCCCGTCTTTACGTGACGTTAGTTTGTTTTGTCGCTTCATTACGTTAAGCACCATCTGACACTGTCGTGTTTCTGTGGGGTCAGAGCGCGCAAAACTCCCCTAGTTTGAGTTCAAGGGATATCAGTTTTTTTTGGGGGGGGGGGAGCAAAGGCATACCATTACTTCCCCTGCCTCCCCCGCCCCTTGCTGCACCGCCACTGTTCGGTGGGAAACAGAAGTTTTTTTCTACGTGAGCAAAACCAGTTCGTCAATTCAGGTGTGCAGAATTTTGGTTCAAAAAAGGGACGGCAGCGAAAACGGAGGACAAACGCGGACCATCGGTCCGACGTCAAGCTGTCATTCAAAAAGGATCTGTGTCGCAGTTTTAAGCGTCTGTTGTGATATTGCCCACGTCAGATGCTCTGATTCCGCTGCAAGCACCCTCAGCCGCAGAGCCTGTAACTTACCCTTAACTTCGGCGATCGCGTCACGCATCGACATGTGCTGAAACTTCGTAACTAGCTGACGTGGTTCAATCGCATCAAAAACGGCAGGGGTGTAGTTTTCTTTTCAGTTAGGGAGCGGTTGGCTCCAGCCCCCTCCAAATTCAAGAAGGTGGGTTAAACTCGTGGAGGAACCCGCTTGTTGGCGTATTTTGTGGGTGAATTTCGCTGTTTTTCACCGCCCAGCCCCTTCCCCCGCCAACCACACATAGTGGATGCCATTTTATGCGCTCATACGATACGCAGTGCAGTATACCGCAGTTTATGCGCAGTATACCCTGTGGGCTGCCTTTGGGAAACCCTGCGCGGCCTCGGCGTGGCAATATCCCGCACATTTTCATACCGTCGACAGGTGACGGATTTCCACGCAAGCCACTTTTACAGATTCGAGCACGACCGGCACCTGCAACAAACAGGGCACAATTGGCTCGAGGCACGCTCTCCATCTTCCCCCTCCCCGCCACATGTTTGGTGTTAATTCAACAGCAAATAATTTACTTGGTCTCACATAATACATGCGCGGTCTGGGGCGGAAGAATACGGAGTAGCTGCATACTTGATTTATTTTACGTGGAGCACGAGCAGCGCAGCTTTCCAGCCGGGCGTCTAGGATGTAAAAAACAAATGCACGCCACCAGAATCATGGTTCCCCGGAGGTCTCCAGTCCGCGCGCAACTCGTTGCCCTTTGACACCGAACCCAGGCATCCCACCTGCCCGGCCCATTCATTAGGTCCGAAGCGCTTAGACGTCGGGTCGACTGCCGCCCGGTTCCACGTTAATTGGCCAATTTTCGGCAATGGGAGAGCGGCAGGCAGTTAACAAGCCGCAAGAGCAATGATATGAAAAAATACCTACACCCCCGCTGCCCAAATGTTGATTCATACACTAAGCAGGAGAGCCAGGTTTGCTAACGTTTCTGCAGACAGGTGTTCTAACCGACGAACCCTCCGTTCTCTCAGTCACACATCACCAAACACCAGCAAAAATCCGTCGTAATCACAGTGCTTTATTGCTCTCACCCACTAAACAAATCGAAGTGTTATCACGTAACTCTGCAATCTCTGCAGACCTCCACGCCAGTGCTCATCTTTCCACATAATTCACGTCGCCATCACCAACCAAGACCTCAGGTCGGCGTCTTTCTGCCCCTCGCCGTTCGATCACCTCGGTGAAATCACTCGTGCCGCTACCCAAATTGAGTGCCTCCAAATCCTGCCACTTTCAGATTTCTGGATTCCCGCATTCTGCAATCTGCAGCGTCGTGGTGCTCTCTCGAAGCATTCTAAGTCTGCTAGTCCTTCACCATTAGTCCGACGGACAAAGCGGCCATCATCGCCACGAACTTGACCATAGCTTGCAGCTCGCCAGCAGCTGCGAAAGCGACGCCGTTAGAACATGCAATGAAATTGAGCAAAGCAGATGGGCCATTCGGTTATGTAAAGCATCAATAATACATCATGAAAACAGTTGAGAGCACTCGATCCTCGCAGCGGTCTAACCGACGTATTCTACTTGGAAATGGCGAGGGCAATTTTCAAAGCGCAGCAAAAAGTGAACTCCCAAAAATCCATACACAATAACCACAGTCCGTACGGAGTATTACAGCGCCAAAATACACGCCAAAGCTATCATAATCACTGGATAGGCCCTTCCATCAAAATGCCCAAAGTGCGCTTTTCTGCCACCAAAGCGAGCTCCCGTAAGTCACGCGTCGTTGGTCGATGCACGCGGTGAAATATAACGACACAATGCCCATGAGCCTCGCTTCAGGATCAAGTTCCTGCCCTACCGTATTTTGTAAAATATATTAGAATGCGATAAGACAGTTATCTCTCGAAGCCCATGCCATTACAAGCGCTGAAGGACGCAAGGTACTAACCGCTGCCTTCAGTGGTGCCAGACGCCTCTCCCTCCGCGGCCGATGGAGCCTGGGTAGCATCACCGCCAGCCGCCGCCTCCGGTGTTGTTGCTGCAGCACCACCCGCATCACCCCCAGCATCACCTCCAGCCCCTGCTCCACCCGCATCACCAGCTGCGGTTGAACCTCCTGCGCCTCCAGCATCTGCCGCCGTCGTCTGCGCACATGCCTCGTACGAAAGCACCAAGAGCACTAACAGAACAACCACTCCAAACCTCTTAAAAGACAGCATTTTTAGTTCGATTTTCCACCGAAATCCGCAAAATGCAAATTTAGCGCCACAGACACGCACTCCACGACAGAACCTGAGCGAATGAGGGCCAACAATTAGACAGCACGTGCTGAGCCAGACGGCAATTGCCATAGCAACCAGCTAATTCGGCGGGAATTTTTTTAAAGGAGTTATTCAATGCGCAAAATAGAGAAATGTTACTTTTTACCCGAAACTATTACAGGGGCTTGAAAGCGTGATGAAAGTTCCAAAAAGAATGAAGTAGAAATTTAAGTGTCATGAAGTTTATTTTTTCCAACCTTTCGATCACCAAGCAACATTCATGTACGGACATTCACCAACACTAGTTTAGTTAGGGTGTATCTAGATAAGCTATATTGCAGGTCTGACATCAATTAAATAGACAAATTTAGCACAGATGAACACATTTATTTTACGCAGCGCCGATAATACCACCCGCAAATCATCTCATTGCTGTATTCGATGTGTAAGGGTTTCAAAACGGCCATGATGCCCATAGCATCATTATTTTTCCTAACCTTAGGAAGCAATGGGAGGTCGCTCATTGGCTGTTTTGATCAACCGTTAACGTCATATTCGCTTTGACGAGTCTATTTTACGCACCGGGAAAAGCAGTGTCTGGTTTTGAAGGCGGTGTCTCGTGTACGCAGTCGGGCGGCAGTAATTATACCAAAACGTTGTAGGTTCGAAATTGATACCGCCCTATAGATCTAATTTTAATTTCGATGATAACTAGCAATTGCAAAACTGGAATGACAATCCAACACATTATTGCTTGTTGCGTATTATACAGCTATACAAATGTATATATATATATATATATATATATATATAGTGTGTGTGTGTGTGTGTGTGTGTGTGTGTGTATGTGTGTTTGCGCGTGTGGGTGTGGGTGTGGGTATGGGTGTATGGGTGCGTGTGTGTGTTTGTGTGTTAAGCATTAACCCGAAACGACAACTGTTAGAAAAGTGTCCTCAACAGCCTGATGTGACTTAATGTGGCAATTTCCACAGTTTTGGTGCTCCGGAGACATAAAAAGTGCCTTGGCTCAGCTAGCAACAAAGGCGTTTTACTCCGTTGATTGCCTACTATCACTAAAAATTTGCGTCCAGGCGTCTTCTACACTGACGTTCATGCAATGCGTTTACCTGAATTACGTCTTCAAGTAGCGTAAAAGCAACCAATCCTTCACCTGCACCATTGGAACATCCAAACTGTTGATGAAAAGCATATGGAGGTGAGTTTAATATGCAGTCAAGTACGATTTGACTTGATGTCCTCCCGTTCTCTCCCGCTCACCCAGTCTGACATCGACTATTGCATTAATATTAATGCCAGATACGGCGTTCAGTTAATGTATCTGAATTTCGTTAGGGGAGGAGCCACGCTTCATTATGGTGCCCCGCCCCTTCACAAAAACTTCCGGATTTCTGTCACTTCATTTCCATCTTTTTACTTTTTTCATCGCTAAGCTATGTGCTTTCGGAGTGTTCCGTCGGATGTAGCCCACTCGATTTCTGGAGGTCAATTTTCTTTCGTTTTTATGCTGAGTTTCTGTGATGAAATGATGAGCCATGAACTATCATAAGATGCGATGCGTTATGTATCTAGAACAAAAAGGCAGTTAAATAAGAACCAAATGACTCCGTCACGTAAACAGCGGGCGCTTTTTACCTTTCAATTATTCATTCATACCCTTCAACTGAAAAATAACAATTGGGCATGTTGCCGCATTTTGAGAGAAGCACTTCACAGCCATGAGCTGGGGCTGACCTATAAGCCCTAACTCGAGGAAATTGCGATCCGTCATACTAGCCATACCCATACCCACCAGTTTATCTACTTTACACTTGCCAATTTCAATAGCGTTCCGTGACGGAATAAACATTACCTCGGTTTATATATATATATATATATATATATATATATATATATATATATATAGTTTCGTCCAACGCAGTGATTTGCTTTGAGCTCCAAAATTTTCTCCGAGTACAAAACGGAGAGCGATAAGACAGGTAGTTTAACATTAAGTGTCGCTCTGCTCCACCGTTTTTGTTCTTAGTTTTTGCTAGCCGCCCTGGAATTTTAATACGAAGGATTACTGCTTTCCCGCCGTCATCGCCGTCACTTGAGCTTTCCGACGGACCCGGCTGCTAGGGGCATATGGCGTCACCTACCCATCACCCTGGTAGGAAGGGCAGACACCGCGGGGACGTCCCCGGTTTAGCCCGGCTGAGACGTTGTCTTCGTTTCAAAACGGAGCTTATTCACACCAGCACTTGTGAAAAGACGATTGTTCGAAGATATAATAATACTGGATTAAAATGAACTTAATAAGGCCAAGGTTATCAAAATGGTCGTGCAAATTGTCATTCGTGTTATATGGTAATGGTAAAGAAAATCTCATATCCTGGCGCTTTCATACAAGGCACCTATATACACAGATTTCCAGGTCCACGACACTTCAAAAGATTTTATTCCAGATTTTTGAATGAATGTTTTCTGAGATCAGAGCTCATGCTAAGGCAATGCTTTTTGCGTGAGCCCCTACCTATCATCCCTATCTGTACCCCTACTCCTACCACTGCCTCTACCCCTACCATTTAACCGCGCCATTCAGGTCAACGGCAGGATATGCTGGCGTAAGTTTCACGTGCCGTAGCGTTCGGAACGGTTCATCCTACCTTTTGACGTCTCCTGACCTTTAGCGCGGGCGCTGCCACCGGCCGCAGGCCATACCTGTCAAGGCCAAATGACGAGCACCTAAAACAACTGAAAGCCATCCCGCCACGGGTAGGTGAATCGGAAGGCAGACGCTCCAACCAGCTGAGCTATCGGGACGGACCGCCAATAAAAGGAAACAAACCAAACTGCAGGGCTGTACCTACCTGCGTTACTAAGCTTCTACAAAAACGCGACGGTGGAACTGGTGGTGACACGTGATGATCATTAACGGAGGGTACGGCAATAGCAGTCGTATCTTGGAAATGAAGAATATTGTATTGTGACACGTGCGCTACAATCTTATATTAGTTGTTGGTATGTAGCTGTTGGTATGCTTTTAAGTGAAAGGACTGCTTCAGACAATACAATTTGTCCGTAAAGCAAACATGCTCCTCAATACGCCATTGTTTGATTACGTCATGGAACGTCCGTATGACGTGAAGGTGATACCAAACTAGCCATGCGAAATTGCAGCCCTAGCACCCACTTGTAATATTTCAACTCGCCGAGAGATGCAGTGACTGTGCTCGAAGTGCTCGCTCAAGTCAAATATCGTTATGTGCTCGTGTTTTAGCCCTTTCTCGTGGCGTTTTGCTCATTTACCCGTGAGTTTAATATGTCTACTTATATTCTCACACTCGATTGTGGCATAAGTCTTCAGCTGTTCGATTACAAGTCATTTTTCCGTAAGCAATAGCAATCATGTCCAACTTGTTATATTGTGTCGCACAAAACGTGATACGTTGTTAAAACTCGCAGATTTTGCTTATCACTGAATGAGAGTGGATTGGCATACACTTTACTCTAAAATCGTGTTCACGGACGCCAAATCTGAACAACTTGACAAAAATATCCTTCTCGGCGTTGAACGACGCATGGCCCATGAGGTGGTAGGATTTAAATGGTATTGCTATAGTGTCATGCATGCCTAGATGGCCCCGTAATAGTCTGCATCAAATAGTCTACACATCTTTGTGGGCGTGTAGGTCAGAAGCTGGAGGGTTTTAGATCTCACTGCTCAGAGGGGCAGAGCAGTGAACTGCACCGAGTATTCTTAAAAATGGCCCCTTCATTTCAAAATACCGTGCAAATGCGGAACACTCCCTTCAAGAATACTGCATTGTAGCACGTGCACAACAACGCAATAATCGTTTGCGCTTTTCCTTTTAGAAATATGTATATCCATGGGATGCAGGCACGGGAGGAATCATTTCCTAATCTAACATGGAACTCTAGGCACGGAAGACTTTGAGTAAGCTCGGGCAGTATAGGGAAATATCGTCGAGGGTTTTTGGAGTCCTAAAAGCATCATAGGTGCTAGATTTGAAGCAATTTAATCCTACAGATGTGAGGTTACTTCACCATGGTAATTTGGGAATATTGGCCCTGTTATGGAAATTTGCGTGAAGGATGTATTTTGTCCAAAAAAGGTCCATAGGATAGCGGGGACCATCCCCCTATCCGACAATACATGGAGACGCCTCCCCATCGTCCCGCGCGATGGCACCGCTCCTGCTAGCTCAGATATGCTTGCCTCCTTGGTGTGAATTTTGGTAATCTACGGATAGCTACAATGCCGTTAGTTTGGGAAAAAAGTGTCTCCCAGAAATGTTGAGCTGGCGAGAGCATACTATTGCACCCTGCCAGCCGATAAGGAGGGACAACTACCGCTCTGCTCCCCCCCCCCCCCCGCGCTGCTACGCCGCCCCTGATGGTGCCCCAGAATGAAGGCGTCGGTGCCCCGTCACTGAATGGGCCGATCGAGGATTTCGTGGATAGAGAGGTATGGACATTACGGAGCCCCCTGGTATTGGGTGCTTCTTGAAAATTAAGGTTATAGTGCAATGAAATGGATGTTTTGATGCTCCTTCGCTAAATGGACCGATCCAGGATTTCGTCAAGGAACATGGTGCGGACATTGTGGTGCTCCTGGAATGTGGTGCCTCTTAAAATTGTAGGTTATGTGGTTTCAGAATAAGAGCTTTGGTGCCCCTTCGCCAGGATATTTTGGCGTCTTGAAGGGGCATGAAAACCTCATGGGGGCCTGGCCCCCTCTGGATTCACCCCTGACATGGGACAGTTTTCCCACAAAATGCTAACGAGTTTCACATCAAGGAGCACCATAACTAATCTAGGGGATACCTAATCATGCTCCTAAAAGCCCGGCTTAGGGTCCTGAGGCCTTCTGCATTTATAACCCTGTTTCATAGATCAGGAGTACAGCGCAGCTAGAGCCATGGCAAAGGGGGCACAGGGTTGACAAAGGACCTCTGATTGCAAAAGGTCCCACCCAAAAAATCACCGGATGTGGTCCATTTGTTAATGAGGG